AAATGCAGATACAATACATAAATAGTAAGTAACCTTTTCTGGGACAAAATACCCAGATTCTGTTTATTTTTAGCCTTTAAAATAAAAATGTATTATTTAATAAAATTTGTCGTCGGCATCAGCCTCAGAAAGCTTGTATCGGTCAATCTCTGTGGGAGGAACTGAACATGCATTGGGGAGACACACATGGTTTTTCAGCTGGAGGTTTATCGTTCCATTTCCTGGCTGAACCTTTCTGTGTGGAGTTTGCATGTTCTCTCTGTGCTGGCTATGCTCCAAGTTATTCCTTTAGCTGCTAGCTCGGAAAAACTAGCCTAGAATAAGCATATTAGAGGCTGTAGTGGTGTTGGAAAGATTGGTCAAAAGCAGAGGACGCAACTCGATTTCTGTGAAACTTTGTGATTGAGATGTGATTGTGCATATCCTGAGAGAGACCACAGAGAGATCAGAGAGAGAGACAAAAAAGAGAGTGCAGAGAGAGAGAGACCAGAGAGAAAACAAAGAGAGAAAGACCAGAGTAATACTAGAGAGAGAGAGACCAGAGAGAGCAGAGAGAAACCATAGGGAGACCAATGAGAGAGAGAAAGCAGAGGGAAAGACCAGAGAGAGATACCCAAGAGAGAACAAAGGGACCAGAGAGACCAGAGAGAGGCCAGAGTGAGAGACGAGAGAGAAACCAGAGAGAGAAGAATATATATCATGACTTCAGTATCAACTACTTTTCAATGAGTTAAATATAAATGCATCATTGTTGTTGTATTTTAGTTTTTAAGTTTTTGATGAAACGTAGCATTTTGGAATCATATTTGCCTCAGTCTCAGCCTGAGTTCAGCTCTGATAGCGACTTTTGAAATGTCTCTTTTCCTGATTGATAGTACGATAGATTAACGGAGTCATAAGTTCAGATTGTGGTTGAGCAGAGGTCTGTGCTGCTGTGAGAGTCTCCCACACACTTCCTCTGTGTGCCGGTGGTGAACCTCCAAAGATCCTTTTTGGGACGCTCCTCTCACTCTGTTGCCAGGACCTCGTGGGGAGACCGTCTAGACCTGGTCACCATGGTTCTCGGCTCTGTTTTTGTTGGCTGCTGCTGGTTTTGGTTTGAGGTGTTTGGATTTTAAATGGTGTTAAAAAGTCACAAGTCTCACTCACTCCTGTTTTATCAAAAATAAGAGATAAACACTCACTTTCATTTAAAAAACATTTAGGTCAGATCCGTTAAAGAGTTTTGTGAACAAATCAAACCACAACATGCTGCCTTCATCTTTTCAGAAAACAAGTTATATTTGGTAGTAAGAAAGAGCACTGTGACTGGGCTTAGAGCGAGGAAGTTAAATGAATATTATTATACACGCAGTTAATTCTACCGTGGATACAAACGAGGAAATGCAGCATTGGGATCTAAAGAGGGCAACATAACGATGTATGATATCACTGAGAGCTGATTGGCTGAGTGAGGGTGGTCCCCTCTTATTGTGCCTGAGGCCAAAAACTGGTGCATGTGAAAAGTAGTGATAGAAGACCAGACCCAGACCAAGCCCAGACCAGGCCCAGACTAGGACCACACCAGGAACAGACCTGATTAATTACAATCTAATCTCTTGGTTATGTTTGAGATTGGATTAATTTATTTCAAAACACAGTACAAGTACTGTGTTACCAAGCAACTATGTGAGAAACTGGACCAAAACTTCGGGTCTGGGTCTGAGTCTAGTCTTGGTCTAGGTCTTGTCCTGGTCTGGGCCATGTATTTCTGGCCTCTGTCACATCTTTAGATCAGCTTTTTCAGACAGAAAAGCAAAACAGAGAGGACCATCCTCACTCAGACAATCAGCTCTCAGCCTAAAGAGGCAAATAGTGACTCACAGGGCTCTTTCTTAGACTGAAGATAACATGTTTTCTAATGAGATGAAGACATCTTTCTGTTAAGTTGTCCTAGTTTTATTAACATTCTGAAAACACAGGGCTCTTACAGCTGTGGGGGGTGGATTACCTTGGAGAAAAATCTAACATTAATTTATTAGACCTTTAAGTTGAGCTCAAGGTTAAACCAAATTAAAATATTTTGTATAGAGCTGAGTGAGACTTTCTTTTTAATGTTTGGACCTGGTTTGGTCTCAGGTATCGTCCACTGGAGATACCAGCAAATATACGGAGCTAATGGGACTGTGAAGTACAGCTGAACTGGGTCTGGATAGAGTCTGGGCCGGTGTTCTGTCGGTTCGTGCCACTTGTCGATTTGAGCTGCGTCAGCTGTTTATGATGTAATGCAAACCTGCGCATGAGCGTCTCACAGTGTTGGGCACGTTACTTTGAAAAAGTAATTAGTTATAGTTACTAGTTACTTCTCCCAAAAAGTAACTGAGTTACTAACGGAGTTACTCCACAATAAAAGTAACTATAGTTACCAGTAAAAGTAACTATTGCGTTACTTTTTTGTTTTGTTCTGGAACATAATGTGCACTTGAGGTGCGCAGTTTTACCTTTAACCTCAGTGAGTCTGAAATAGCGCCAATATTTCCATCTAAAACCTGTTCACTCTCCATCTCTCTCTGTGCTGTAAGCACTAAACACCAACACGCTCCACTGTGAATGTGGAAACACCGGTGAAGCACTGACTTCAGCCCAATCAGATGAACATATATATCATATAAATCAACTGGACAATTTGTTTGGCCACAGCAAATTATGTTTCATGCCCGAATTGTTTGTTCATACAAAACGCAAAACTATGAGTTATGGGTCTTACCTTATACAGTAAATGACCTGCACAGGCCTCTTCGGTTCAGACTAATTCTGTGTTTAAGTCCAGATAATAGTTTGAGCGTAGATATGTAATCCTCCATTTGGAAATGAGTCCAATGAGTTTTAAAAAGTAAAACAAAACGCGTGTCTCCTCCGTAAACTCCTCTGTTTTGCTAGCTGCAGCCGGGTGCATCCAATTTCTAAAATCAACCGTCTTACACTTCACCTCTTTTTCTTATCATTCCTATAGTCATTGAAAAATTACCCTAAGTGCATTTTAGATTATCTATAAATGTGTTATATGTATGTTAGCCAAACCTGTTGCTGCCCTTAGCAGATAAACCAGGAGGAGAAAGGAGCTTATCGATGGAATTGTATGCAGCCTTCTGCGCTCACATGCGCTCCTCTGAGGCCTCACGGTGATACAAGCCGTGGTAGAGTGTGATTAAGACCCATTTGTTTCAAAAACACAATTTATGAGCCATCCTCTCAACTGTAGACATGTAGATTGTAAAGGAAATATGTTTTACATCAGCCAATTATTGCTGAGAGGTTTTCTCATCCTCCCTTCTCTCATGACAACGCGCACGAGTCCTATCGAAGTAAAAAGAGAAGTTCGTTGTGCGTCTTGAGTAACGCGCAGTAACGGGATGTCGGAAATGATAACGGCGTTATAGTTACAGTCCAAGTAATTAGTTAGATTACTCGTTACTGAAAAAAGTAACGGCGTTAGTAACGCTGTTATTCCCATCACTGGCGTCTCACGGCAGCCAAAGCCAACCAAGATGGCTGTGAATTGTTTAAAAAGTTTCAATACGAACAAATGAAAACAAATGTCACTTATAATGCAATTTGAGGAGATGTTGATGGTTCCATGTTGTGATATGTGAGTTTTAAGGGTAAAAGTTTTGTGTAAAATATGGTTTAAGTAGTTAACTGCTCATGTCAAACTACACTGCTACCGTATGATAGCTGGCTAACAGCTGTCGAGATAAGCCGCGTTCAGACCGGATCATGCGTTGTGGCGACATTCAATGCAAAGTCGATGGTGACGCGCGTTCGAGCATGGAACTGCATGTGCGTCTCGGGATGCAGGCACGGACTGCGCAGGAGAGACGCACGGACTACGCGGCAGAGGCGCAGAAGGGAAAATCGACGCACGCAGAAGATAAATATTGCTGGACGTTTCCTCGGGACGCTTGTGCAGCAACCAATCAGAGAGCCGTAAAGTGGTCACGGGGACATTAGCGGCCTGAGCGAGCAGACTGAAAATACTTGTAAACAGCCAAAACAGGAGCTACATCAGGACTAAACCAGGGTTGACAATGGGAGACATAGTACTTGTGAACATATGAGTTCTCATGCTCCTGTGACTGTATACAACTGCTTCGAGTGTGTTCGCCTATGCGGAAGTACCGTTTAATGATAAATTAAACTTATGGCGCACCTCCGTGAACACATACTGCTGTTATATAAAGTCTGTGAAGGTCTCAGACACAGAGACGCTGCAGAGCTGCATTATTGGAGAAGAACTTCACACAAAAAGCGGACGGACGGACGGAACTTCACACAAAAAGCCACTAGCTTAACTCCGTTAGCATCAAAGTACGCCTGCTACTTCTGCCACTTCCGGCGGGCACCACTGCTGGCCAGGACAACTGGTCTGAACACCCCTGCGTCTGAAAATTGGAGAATGTGCTTCTGGGGCGCGAGGTGTCAGCGTTCCAGCGTCGGTGTCTGAACGCGCCATTAGCCACACGACGCGTCATCAGCCTATGTCAGTGAAATGACATATGCCGCAGTTCAACTTGACAGGACTGCTATCACACAGTAGCAGTGTGGTTCGACAGCAGTTGACTGCTTAAACCAAACTTTACACAAAACTTTTACTCTTAAAACCCACATATCACGTCATGAAACATGAAACAACATCTTGCCTCAAATTGCATTAAAAGTTACATTCTTGTCTTAATATGTTCGTATTTAAAACTTTTTAAACAATTCAAGGACTTTATGTCTGCCATCTTGGTTTGCTTCATAAACAGCTGAGGCAGCTCAAATCGACAAAGTGGCACAAATCAACAGAACACCGGGTCTAGACTGGGATCTGGACTGGGTTTGGACCAGGTCTGCTGTGGTTGCACTGTGTCTCCGTGGACATCTGCATGGAGCTGTTTGGGCTTGTCTCATGTTGTTGTTTATTGTGGTACATTTGTCGTGTGTGTGTTCTCGTCATTGATCTTGTGTTTTGTGTCCAGTCTCGTCGCCCAGAAAATTCCGAGCCAAAGTCCAGGGTCCAACCACAGTCCATGTCTCCTGGAAGGAACCCCGAGGAGAGTTTGACCACTACAGAGTCCTCTACAGCTCAGGTGAGAGTCTGGTTCAGACCGGCTTTGGACTTGATTTGGACCGGATATAGATCTGGTTTGGACCTGGTTCTGACCTGGTTTGGACCGAGTTTGGATCTGATTTGGTCCCTGTGTCTCTCTGTGTTTGCTAGTTCTCCCAGTCTCTCTGTATTTGCATGTTATCTCTGTTTCTCTGTATTTGCATGTTCTCTCTGTGTCTCTCTCTGTGTTTGCATGCTTTCTCTGAGTCTCCCTGTGTTTGCATGTTCTCCCTCTATGTCTCTCTGTCTGCATTTTCTCCCTGTGTCTCTATGTTTCTCTGTATTTGCATGTTCTCCTTGTGTCTCTCTGTGTTTGCATGTTTTCTCCAGTGGGGGCGGGTCCCGGCTCAAAAGTGGTCAAAAGGACGTGCGCTGACAAAACCACCCCGAGCCGATAGGGGTGGACCCGGAATAAGAATTATTCAATGCTAATGTATAGAATTAGCTGACCTCTCCAAAACGTTTTTACAAGATGGTCCAAAAGTTGGCTTTTGGCCCAAAGCTCCGTTCCACATGTGTGTCAACGCTGAGGGGGGTGAATTTTTTTTGGACCAGTCTAGTTTACTCGCTGTGAATTTTTTAAGTCACTCGTTAAATGAATGGGGCTCGTGCCGGCTGACGCATGCGCAGATGCGTTTTTTCACATTTTCCAGCCCCCATAGACCGCAGAAGTTGTGGCACATTAGTTAGAATTAGTATTTGCATGTTCTCCTTGTGTTTTTCTGTGTTTGCATGTTCTCCCATGTCTCTCTGTCTTTGCATATTCTCCCTGTGTCTCTCTGTGTTTGCATGTTCTCCCTGTCTCTCTGTATTTGCATGTTCTCTCTGTCTTTGCATGTTCGCCTTGTGTCAATTTGGGTTTGCATGTTTACTCTTAGTCTCCCTATTTTTGCATGTTCTCCCTGTACATCTCTGTGTTTGCATGTTGTCCCCGTGTCTCTCTGTAATTGCAGGTTCTCCCTGTGTCTTTCTGTGCTTGCACGTTTTTTCCATGTCTCTGGGGAGCTCCTTCTCTGTCTTTGAGCCTCAGAGAGTCTTGAGTTGGGCAGGTTTTACAGTCATAGTCTCTCCGTTCGCACACGCTCAGACCTGTCTGTCGCCGTGGGCTCCAAGTCCTGAACAGTTCCCTGAAATATCACAGAAACACCTCCGCGGGCGCCAGATATGAAAACACTTTTCTGGAGAGGCGAAGGGGAAGTGTTCACGTTGTGTTTGACAGAGGAGTTTGCACACGCCCTGCCCCTGAAATATGTTCGGAAATATGTGCTAGTGATGATTCAGCAGCAAAGGCTCAGGCATTTTGGCACAGATGAAAAGGGAAATCCACCGCAATCGAATGTGATCTACAGCTATGACGGCACATTAGACTCAGGGCTGAGGCTGTAGTCCAAGGACTGAGGCTGTAGACCCAGAACTACTTCTCTCTCTCCGTTCTTCTGATTTTCTAACAGGTGTCCTTTTGTCCTTGCAGGTGGTCCGGATACTGAGGTCGAGGTTCCTAAACTCGACCCTAAAGTGGTGATTGAAAACTTTGAGGCGTCTAAAGAATATAACTTTAACATATTTGCGGTGAAAGGCGATGAAGAGAGCAAACCTCTGCAGGCCAAACTGGAAGGTACCACCAGCTCTACCCTACCCTACCCTACAATTATAGATAGAGCATATATACTGTATATAAGTATAGGCTGTACGGTGGCTGAGTGGATAGCACTCTCAAAGGTCATGGGTTCGAGTCCCGGTCAGAATTTTTTCAAATATAAATAAAGTTTACTTACTTATAAAGCCCATCACTTATTCCATTATACACATTCATCATTAATTTTGAGCTTGAAAAAATATATAACACTGAGTTGTATTTACAGCTCAGTCTGCGGTGGCCTCTCAGAGCAGCTCGAGAGTCAGCTCCACCACCGAGAACAACGAGATCTCCGAAGGTGAGAAGGAAGTTATCGATATATGAACTATAATCTGTGTTTGAGTCAATAAAGCGATTAAAACTGATGAGAGCTCTGTGTCACATTCTCACACACACGCACACACATACACACGCACACACACACACACACGCATAAACAATCCTACACACACACACACACACGCACACACACACACACGCATAAACAATCCTACACGCACACACACACACACACAAACTGATATTTTCTCTTCCGCTGCTAACATGACACTTGAGGGACAATACCTGGAGTTTGAGCAGTTGAACGTGTTGCTCTATCCTTCATAATGTTGGGTTTGTCTGTATTGTTCCATTAGGATTAGAATCTTGCAGAAGTCCTTTATAATGTGATTCTCTCTCCTCTATGTTCTCTATTTCTGTTCTCTCTGGTCCCTCTCTCCAGTCTCTTTATGGTCTCTCTCTTGTCTCCCTTTCTTGTGTCTCTCTGGTCTCTCTCTGATCTCTCCATTGTCTCTCTGGTCTCTCTCTGATCTCTCCATTGTCTCTCTCTGATCTCTCCATTGTCTCTCTGGTCTCTCTCTGATCTCTCCATTGTCTCTCTCTGATCTCTCCATTGTCTCTCTGGTCTCTCTCTGATCTCTCCATTGTCTCTCTCTGGTCTCTCGTTCTGGTCTTTCTCTTGTCCCTCTCTCTGGTCTCTCTCTCTCTAGTCCCTCTCCCTGGTCTCTCTATAGTGTCTCTGTTCTCTTTCTGGTCACTCTCTCTTATCTCTCTCTAGTCTTTCTCTGGTCTCTCACTCTGGTTTACTTTTACATTTAGGTCAATCAGAGCCAGAGCGAGTCGGAGCCAAACTCTACCATTGTGCACTTTCCCTATTGGACTTGAATGAGCTAGCGGGTTAGCATTGCCATTCGCGTAAAGGTTATGTACATATTTCAGTCAGGCCTAAAAGCAGCTGGGGCTTATGTGTTTGGATCATAAGAATAAGTATAATTGCTGACATCCTTCTGTGTCTCTGAGGGCAGCACGTGTCACATGTCTGTCCTCTGTAAACTCTGTCGCCGTCTTCTTAAACCGATCCAGAAGTTTTACGAGCTCTGGCAAAAGCTTGCGTCCAAAATAAACTTTAACTGAGCTGCGGCCAAAGGCTTCAAAACATTTTCTCTGGACGTGCGTGTGTGAATGTGAATGTATCTAGGAGAATATTATAATTAAGCTGACCGGATTATAGAGATGTGTTGTGTGTGGTGGGATCTGTCTCGCCCCCCTTCTGCGCACACACTCTGTCTTCCAACGCATCACTCTGTAAAGATGTTTGAAAAGTGAGGCTCAACCTCTCTTTTTCACTTTTCTGTCTGAAAAAGCGGCTCTAAAGAAATATATATATATGGGACTCGATAAAAAAAATACATATTTATATGTATACACTATATATGTATACAATATATACATATATATATATATATATATATATATATATATATATATATATATATATATATATATAAAATATATTAGGGCTGTCAAACGATTACAATTTATAATCGAGTTAATTACAGCTTAAAAATTAATTAAATCGCATTTCAAACGATGCAAAATGATGCCATATTTTTCTGTAAATCGTTGTTTGAATGGAAAGTTAAATGACAACGTAGTGTACACACTGTATTTGTTTATTATAACAATAAATCCACATAAAATGGCATTAACATTATTAACATTCTGTCTTTCTGTAGTAGACACTTTTTTTTCAGCTCGACATATTCCGCATCTGCTAAAGCCTTCGCTTTCTTCTTCTTCTCTGTCTCATAAAGGCTGTGGATCCTCTTCATTATTGTGTCTCTAAACTATTGTTTGCTAGGGATGAGAATGGGACATTTGAAAAAAGTTGAAATGCATGTCAGCCAATGGATGTCATTAATTCTGTATGATTTGCTCACAGCATTTCATTTTTTGGCACAACCAACATAAAGTAGCTATGTTGGAAAAGGAAAAGGTACCCCAGCTTTAATTTAGCGTCTTTTTTTCGCTTCAGGGGAAGACATGTGGGAGACGGACTGTTTCTTGCAACGCTGTTTTTTTTGTGTGCACTGATCACGCCTGTGCGTGATCAGTGCACACAGGGGTCCTGTGCGTGTATATGGCATTGGGTATATGGCCACATTGTTGATTAAAGCCGCTCACAGCTGCTGGACGCGGGAACCGCTGTCCAAAGCGGCTGCAGCTGCCCCAGAACGCTGCGGACTCCCATTCACAGCAGTTGCCCCGCGGTCACGCGCGTGGGGTGCCAGTCACTTGGCACCATAGACTGTAAAAATTAACGGACGTAGTCACGCCTATCTCCGCCGTTTTACTACAACTATGAAGATGGCTGCTACGAGATAGAGTGCGACCTCTGGACAGAGCAGTCGCATTCTCTTGCTGCTCCTCGCTTTCTGCTTTTTTATCTCCTTTAATCATTTTTGCTTACATTTTTATTCCACAAAACACGGATTACTCCTTTTTACAAACTTCAACACAAGACTTGTGGAATTTACCTAACTTACAGCATGTCGGGAGGACGGGAAAACAGAACAAAACTTTGCGACGGCTGTTTTTCACTCAAACAGGAGCTAAAACTTCTTCAAGACCGAATGTTTGTGCTTGAATCAGAATTGGGGCTGAACACAACAATACCAATGAAGGGAAATGGACCAAATGGACAAAACGTAAGTTATGATGACGCTATTTCATTTCCCAAAATCAACAGAGACAATTGTTGGAACACATATGGTGCCAAGCCCAAACAAGGCAAAGCTAATGATAACAAGAGTGTCATAATGCCACAGCAAAAATCTTTAATTACAAGAAACCGCTTTTCCCCACTTTTGGAAGATGAATCAGCAGTAGTCTCTCAGTCCCAGTCTCAGTCTCAGTCAAGGTCAAATGCAGCTGAGTCGCTCTTTATCGGCGATAAGACGCGTAAACATGCGTAATCTCAAGGTTCACTCAGTAACACTCTGCCAAAGTGGATGAGATAAGGCGGCTGGCTCCGAGGCTTCTGTCTGAGACCGGCGGGGTAAAAAGATTGTTGATCCACGTGGGGGCAGTAGACGTCTATGACAACACAAGTGAAAAGTTGGAAACGGGATTACTCTCTCTTATTGGACGACCTTGCTAAAATGGATGTAAAAATCGTTATCAGTGGCCCACTACCAAATGTGGACGGGAAGCAAATGAAATTCAGTCGTCTGTATCAGCTAAATACTTTCCTACTCAACGAATGTTCACGCAGAGGACTTGCCTTCATTGAGAATTTTAATCTGTTCTGGAATAGGCATGAGCTTTTTGAAGGGAAAGGGCCACATCTGAACACTTACGGAGTAAAAGTGTTGATGGATAACCTTTCTTTTGCCCTGAGACCTCAGCCTGCGCAGCTCGTGCAGCCATCGAAAAGGAGGAAGCCGACTCTAAAAGTCTCTGCACCTCCACCACCTCGAAGGATCTCAACACCTCCACCACATCGAAGGATCTCAACACCACCACCACCTCGAAGGATCTCAACACCACCACCACCTCGAAGGATCTCAACACCACCACCACCTCAAAGGATCTCAACACCACCACCACCTCGAAGGATCTCAACACCATCACCGCCTCAAAGGATCTCAACACCTCCACTGTCATCAGAAGCAGCTGCATCATCACCAGTAGCAGCACCAGCAGCACGACCACCACCACCACCAACATCCTCATCCCTAGCCTGCTCCAAAGCAGCCACGCCTTCTTCTTCTACAGCGCCTCTGAAGCCCCCATCCTCACCCCAGGCTACAGCAGACAGGCCTGTGCTGGGGTTTCCTCAACCACCTGCCCCTCCATCAAAGACTCCCTCGCCACCTCCCATGGACCTGTCTTGGGTCCCCCCTGCCACGTCCACTCCATCAAGAGAGAATGGGGACACGTCCCTTTGTTTTTCATCCCCGCCTTCACTGTTAGACCTACCTGAACACTCTGCAGGGCTAATAAAATCGGCGATGAAGACTATTCCTCTCACACCCATATTAGCTAGATCTAGAGTCCTGTCCAACATGCTAAACCACTCCCCATATGTACCTCCAAAACCACCTAGGGTTTCCAATTCACCTACAAAAACCACCTCAGCCAGTCCCTCCCCTAACCTCATGACCATTCCACCCCCACTTCCCCCTCGTTCAGCACCCAAAACCTCTGCCTCAGCCCACCCCGGCCCTAACCCATCACCAAAAACCCCTCCACCTCCCTGCCCCCCTCGTTCAACACCCAAAAGCCACCCACCTCTCCATCCTCCTCCCCCGCCTTCCCCTTCCCCTCTTTTCTCTAAACACTAGGATGCACAGGGTCTCTGCTTCGCAGCCACTGGCAGTCTAGTTAGAGGAGAGACCCGGCTGGGGCCCTGTCATGAAGCCACCTGTGCCATTCCCGTAGTGATAACACAAAGAATACATTACAGAAAGACATCTGGAGTTAATAAGTCTAATCTGGAAAATCTAATTCTTGTTCCGTGTAAGAATCAGCCGACCACAACCGCTGATACTGAAACTTTGAAACTTGCTACGCTTAATGTCAGATCTCTTTGTAACAAGTCTTTTTTAATCAATAATTTTATTTGTTCTCATAATCTTGATCTTATGTTCATGGCTGAAACTTGGCTTGACCAAAATTCAGGAAATGCAGTTTTAATAGAAGCATCACCACCAAATTTCAAGTTTGAATCTGAAATACGGGAAAACAAAAAAGGAGGAGGCTTAGCTGCCATTTTCAGAGACCACTTTGTCTCCCATAGAATGTCTCTTGGGAAGTTTTCGTCTTTTGAATATGTGTCTTTTAAAATACAACAAAAACAATCTCCTCCAATACTCTTCATTGTCCTATACAAGCCACCGCAGTCATGTCACAGTTTTATTGATAATTTTACCGAGTTGCTTTCAGTTGTATGCACAGATTTTGATAGTTTGGTTATTACAGGTGATTTTAATATTCATGTGGATAATGTTGATGACA